GCCTGTACTGTGAAAAAACTGTCTCTCTGCGAGCAGCACTGGCTGAGGTGGCAAAGCCTCATTTGATGACAATGCCAGCTTAAGGTATTTTTACCTCTTCCTCCCTTCCCATCCAAGCTATTTCTCTGTGTCTCTTCTAGGAAAAAAAAAGTCTCAAAACTGGATTGGTTATGTCATTCATTTGACTGAGACTGGCAAAAACTCGGGTGAGGGCAAACAAATGAATAACAGTGCTGTACTCTGGTGGGAGAACACATGATTGGAAATAAAATGGATTTTGGAACCATGTCACGATTTTGATATGAAGCCTCCCCACTTCTGGTATGAAAACAATGCCCAACTGCATGTCCTCATGCAGGCAAGGAACACCAAAAAACACAGTATGCTCCCTCACAGACAGTGTTCAGAGAAAAAGAAATAAAAGGCATTCCTCTTGAAAAAATAATAGTGAATGGTAACAACAGGAGGAAGATCATGGTAGTAAATACAGTAAATAATAGCCAATTGTAACTTGCAAAAATATTAAGGATATTTGTTACCTTTTCTGAGAAAACTAAAGGAAAAGAGAGGGCAGAAATCAGGGGTTTTTTACTGATTCAGCATATCAGAAGATAACCAAAACCAGCCATACTCTACTCTTAGCTTCCAGAAGTACCAAGTTTCAAGATTCTCTTGGGGTTAACCAATTTTCAAGCTCTCAATGCCTCTATATATTAAAACAAACAAACCGAAAACATCCACCCACCTCCAAGGGCAGTAAGATAATTTTAGGTAACTCCCAGAAAAGCAATGTCAGGCCTCAATTCTGGAAATATTTGCTTAAATCATCTCTTTCTTGTATTCTAAAAGTAAATTCTAAACAGATTTATTTCTTATTTCTTTATTTATTTCTATCTTGTTTTCTTTAAAATACTCAGAAACCCTTTACACAATTAGAATACGATTTTATTTTATCAAACTATTTTACAAAACCTCTTTACTTAGCTGCAATGGTGTAACCTGTATTGATAACATTATCTTGCTTCAACAAGAGCATTCTCTGGCTTTATTGCAACTAGAGGATCTAAAACCAAATATTTGTTGTAACAGTTATTTTTCAGCTGAAAAAATTATCTAAACTGACTATGCTAAAACAAATATAATGAGTTAATTTTGTATAAGAGTATAATTTTGATCTACATATATCAAAAGAACTCTTTAATAATTTCTGTTTAATTTCTCCAATTGTAACAAAGCAACAATACAACAAAGCAGTCAGTACTTGGCCTCATCATGGCAAAAGCTTAATAATGATAAAACCAGAATGACTGCTGAAACAGAACAAAACTATTATGCTTAAACTGGAAAGAGGGGGGAAAAAATCCTCAGGCCTACATAATGAAACTGACACGACATTCTATTTCAAGGGCAGTCTTTAACTGAAATGCAGCAATTATTCAATATCCTTACAAGCCTAGACCAACACATCAATAAGGCAATATGAGAGTACAGATCTGTAATTCAACCACCCTGATACTTCCTAGAGAGAAAAATGGCAGTGCTTCAAGGCAAGACATATTATAGAAACATCCTCAGCAAAAATGAAAAAAAGCTGAGAAAAATTACAGAGTAAGTTTACAGTAAAAACTAAATTTTAAAATATTCAGATATCCAAGCAATTTTAACTTTTTAAAAATATTTACACTGACTTTTCATATTAACACTACACAGTACTACACAGTAATACACACACACTGTCACAACCCAATTGCAGCCCAGATAGTTGCAAGTATATTCTCACACATTTTCATTTGCTCTTTTCCTGAGACAGTTCTAGAAACTAACTTCCATCTGGACAGCCAATCTATCCAAGTAAGTGCCACTATAACATTTCCTCTGAAGAATGGTTTCTAATTGGATACCATTAACAATGATGTGATTAGCACTAGATCTGAGCTTCATTTTTGATGTTTGATTTGATTGCGTATTCTTTGTGTGCATATTTGCTGTGTTACTAAGAAAACCTTAAGAGGAATAAATTGATTTTTAAAACCACTGTGCTTGAGTCTCATTCACTTCTCCACACAAAAAAAAAAAAAAAAAAAAAAAAAAAAAAAAAAAAAAAAAAAAAAAAAA